GTGCACATATTCCCCGAACGGTTTCAAACATGAGGAGATTTGTATATATTGAATTATAATACGAATTAAGATTCGATTCAATATAATACTGGCATTCTCCACTGGATTCAAAGCTGTATTAATTAAATTTGGATCAAATTTAAAAACAACGAGTAAAACAATTCACTTCGCTTTTGCCATTTCGCTGGGGCCGCATGAAGGTCCTCGATGGAATGCCACTCGCCGTTGGTCTTGACGCGTTTGCGCACAACCGGCTTCGCAGGTAAGAGCAGAATGTCTTCGCGTACCCCTTGTCTTGATGCACGATCCCGTGCCAACGGCGTCCTTGATTCCATTCGCTTTTTACATGTACATGCGAGAGAACATACGAGGCAACGACATCGCCCACAACACCACAGGTACGAAATCAATTTTGAACCAATTGGGGGTCTTACTGCTCACCGTTGGTTTGGAAAGGTCAACAAACGTCGAAGCGATGGCAATCGCCTTCGACCGAGGCAACATCCACGAGCTCGACGCCCGTACCCACCACAGTCAAGTATATGCTGCTAATCATTACTAGTACTTCGTATTAATTTAGTTTGGCGTGATTATAATTGGTTGGGTTTTCGTGTGAACTCCAAGTATATAATTACTGCCATGAATATTATCACTACCAATCAGTGATGTTAACGCCAAATTAGAGTAATCTGATTGGATAAAACTCGAATCGTTCGGAAGTTTCATGCCGTTCGGAAGATTGATGCACTACCTTATATTTCGCCACACCAGGTGTATATATTCAAGCAACTATCGTTTACATTGTCAATATATTTGACCCAGCATCCGATTAATTTCACCAAAAAACCCAATTATACAGGACACGTCGCACTGGTGGTATGGTGCACTTCATCTAAAAACTTCCAACTGGCCAAATTGAAGAGTGAAGGTTTTATTATTTAACGTGCAATTAATATAGTTAAACCCAAATTCGAGATACGTTAAATACCAATTGCATGCGTTTTATCATTGGAGTGGGAGGTTAAAGGTCCCAACTGCCTCCGGATATTAAATACGGATAAGAGTCATATACAAATATCAAGATACACTTGAGCGGCCACCCCTATGGCCAAATATCCAAGCGCCTATGTAAAATACCGCTAGGTTAAATATCTATTTCTGGACCAATTCATCACAAAATTTGAATCTGAGACGTAGAATTTCTTCACCACATTGAGATCTGTCGATTCTACGTCTCAATTTGCTGCAATTTTGAGTAATGAATATGAAATAGAAGTCAGAAAATTTTGTGAAAAGTTGGTAGTTTATAGATGATGTGCACCATACTACGCCGTTTTTCGTTTAAGTTCAGGTTATTTCTGGTATATTTCGTCCAACGCACAACTGATTCACCATATGTGCGTTATGCTCGCCAAGCATTCAATATATTTCGTTCAGACCCTACTGGTTGCAGTATATTTCGACTAATACCCGGTATATGTCACCCCATAACCGGTATATTTCACACATTGTTCATTCAAATGATGTTCCATCTGGTAGCTAATGAAATTTTCGGAAAAAAACTTTCGACGAATCAAATTGCAGGCGTATCCGGTGCATTGCCACGCTTCTCCATTTCACAAAGAGTTCAACGTTGTATCGGACAGGAGTCACAGTGAGTATATTTAGGTGAAGTAAAATGACGCTCGACGATTTCAGGTGGATTTGACGTGGTTCGTCGTATGCCAATTTTAGCTCGAAAGTAAAATATCTATGATTTAGACAAGTATCCACCACTTGATTTGCTTCGAAAATCGAAATATCATTTGAAATATATTGAACAGCTACCGACTGGGGGGTGACATATACCAGTCATTAGTCGAAATATAATGCAACGAAGTTGGGAAATATATTGAATGTCCAGCGAACACAACGCACATGGCGTGAAACAGTTGTGCGTCAGACGAAATATACCGGAAATAACCTGAACTTAGTAGTAAGTCGATCTATCTCCCTACGGTATCTACATACTAGTACTGTACGCCCTGGTGAACCTTGCGACTTTTCGGCATGTTGGACTCCAAGGCCATAAGTACACAATCCCGATAAGTGACAGCTTGGCTTGCCACCACCGATGCATGTTTCTACATGTTTGATCTATGACTTTACGTTAGAAGTCTGTTTGCTGTATACTCGAAATCTTCAATTCAAAATCACCTCTTTAAGATTTATCCAGTTTACGGGAACTGTCTAATTTTATGTGGAACGCCGTAGAATCGGCCATTTCTACGGCAAAGGAGACCCCTCCCTCTAGGACACCGTCACCCGACCTGGCCTCTTGTCCAGCCTCTTCTACGCTACGATGGGACATTCCAAGAGTTAAGGTGGAGCGATTACGTGCAGCTTATCTTGTCTGATTCATTCAGCCAATAATCCTGAACCTTCAACTTTCTCCCGAAGTTGACGTAACAGTTGCCTTGGGTCGATGTCCTGCCCACAATTCCTACGATTTCAGTATGGGGCTTCGGGGTTTTGCCTGTAGGCGCATGAAGCACACACAAACTCACAATTCTCATCCGAATATGCACATAAGTGGACATAGTAGTTGCATACGCAGTTGCGCCATGATGAGCCAAAATCGCCAAGCGGTGCGTAGAACCACTCCCTTGCTCAAAGTGGCATGCAAATACTGGTATAGGAGTGAAGTCCGTGGACCCATGAGGTGTGTGACAGGACCCCTTCGTGATGCCAGTTGTGCTAATGGAGTCATATGAGTAAAGCTTATGCAATGCAACAACAAGGAACTACATGCGGTGTCCACACATGCACGCGTAACGTTACTATTAATAGTACGGATATCGTTCCTCATGCGGATGTGGTAATAGGAAGTTTTGTCTAACAGTAAATCATGACGCGTGCATTAAAATTTCCGTGCGTGGAAAGTCTACGACAGTGTTTCCAAAATCCGTCTAATACTTCCTTACAGTAACAGTACACGAATCCTAAAACCCGTTGTAGAACTTGGGTACACATGACAGAAGGAGTACATTGATCGGTACAGCCGAAAGTACTGAGATCGAACCTGCATTCGTTCACATGGTTCTCTGTCCAAGTTCGTAGATATATTTACAGTAATTGATGAACGTCAAACTCAGATGCTTGGCCCGAACACTTGGACTTTGTGCAGAACGAACACACACAATCATGAAGAATTCCATTGTTCCATTTGCCTTGTACGAATGAAGTGTTTTGCACTCTCAACATTGGCGTGCCTTGTGATGGCTACCACTGATTCACAGCCTGGAATTGCTGGTGGTTGGTCGACTGCAAATGTGGACGATGTCAAGAAAGTGTACTTCGATGCCGTGCAGCAGTCCAAGGCCTCCGCCAACACCACCCGACTCTGTGCAACAGAATTCACGTCTGCGCAGTCGCAAGTGGTTGCCGGTATCAACTACAAGCTCAATGTGAACGCGTGTACCGTGAGCTCTGCGAATGAAACGACAGCATCGTGTAAGTGCCCCCCTTCTAGCACCAAACCGTACGTTGTGAGCTTGTTCGCCAGCCTCGATGGGGTATCCACTATCTCAAGCATTGACAACCCCCTCACCACGACAGCACCACCAAACATCTCAAGCATTGACAACCCCCTCACCACGA